CCTTCGCGGCCACCCTTTGGATTGTCACGCAAGGTTTCCTACATAAGAAGCGTTACTTCCCAAGAAAGCGTTGAGCAACATCGCCAGGGATGACTGAGATTTATTGAGTTCCAGGTTTAAAATAAGACGTATTCAAGCACTTGTTGAGCAACATTGTACATTAACTGGAACAAAAGAAACTGTTTACCTATGAAAAGGGTTCAAATCCCACAGACACCGACTTGGCCACCGTGATGAGCGGAAGGGCGGGTGGGCATTAGTCAAACGGCGCGCGCGGTTGTCCAATAAACGCTGACCCCACCATTTTATTTTCGCACACTCGCTTTTCCGACTAAGAGTCTTACGCAGTGTACTTCAAACGAAAGAAAGTAACCACAGCTGCCAATCAGAACAAGGTAAAAATGTTACGAAGAGCCAATCAGAACTCACAGTTAAAACAAGCAAACTGCAGCAGCCCAAAGCGCGGGAAAACGTGAATGACCAATCGCAGTGTTGTAGTGTCGCGTTTGATGGGGAGGCACCGAGTTTCCTTTTCGAATAACGCCGGGAGCATAGACACATATTTTTTCCGATTTATTCCGGAATACTTTCGACATTCCATTTTTAAAAACTTTGCTCCAATGCTTAAATCAACTTTTGTTGTCTGGGTGAAATTTCTGTTGATTGATACCTTCAGGAATTTTTAAGATTACATTAATACGGAGGAAATTAAGAGAATTGCTAAGGATAACATGTGACCTAACCTCACTAATTAAACAAATGCTCTTTCCGGCCAAAAATTGAATTGGAGTCCCATCGTGATAATAAGCGATAAATTAACTTTGTTTGGAAAAGCCCTGCAAATATTTTTTTAAGTAAGTGTGAACAGGAAAGGATTTGATTTGGTTTCCAAACCTGAAGCTTAAAGAAAGTGGCTTTTGTGGCCAATGACCTCATTTATTAAAAATTCGCCCTGAGTCCTCGTTTGTACGAACGTTTTTAAGAATCTTTGACAGTTTCTTGTTGTTTCAATGTGGTAAATTCATTTGATTTTTTGTGTTTTGGGGATGGATACCTTCCTGTTAAAATTCACCAGTTTGCACGTTGAAAGCGACTGCAGCTTGGGGTGAAATTGGGTATACCGTCGAAAATATGCAGAAGGCTTGTTTTGTCGCGAGCTTGGGGTTAACAGAAATATTAGTCCCCTTTTGAAGATTGAAATCCTTAAAAAAAGTTCCGATTTCGCTGTTGGATACAATATCATTGATTTAAAGGGCGTTCTTTAATAAGCTCAAGAGAGGTCTTGGAATAAGTTCAAATAAGGCAGTCATTCTGCCAAGTAAGAGCTTCATCGATGACGAGTGCTTTCGACTTGTAAAGACTTATTGATTAAAATTTGCTCTAACACACTCCAGGTTATTATCTTCATAACTGAACGTAAAATGAAAAATAACTTTAGAGGTTTCATCATTTCTTTTAAAAACTGAAGTTATTGGATTGTTTCAAGTGTGCATGTAGCTGCAAGAAGTACAGATGGTCATATACACTAGTTACAAAATAAAACAGATATGGCGTGCGAAATAAGTCTTTGAAAATGTCGTTTTTACCCTTAAACACAGACATGACGTAAACCCTTGTCGTGTTTTTTTTTGTTGTACTTCGAAACTAAAGCAGTTCGTATGTTGAGGCACCTGGTTTTTAAGAATCAGTTGGGTAATTACAGGATTGCTCTTGGGTTTTTAAGTTTTGTGGTCGCGGTACATAAAAGAAGTTTGATATCGTTTTACCAAGGATTTTTGTTTCGAACTAGCAGTCTTACCAGTTCTCTGTGCAAAAAACAAAACAAAACAAAACAAAACGTTTTTTAAAGTCGAGACAGGTTTACCAAAAGATTCTCAAGATTTCCAATAATAGTATATTTTTTTTTTCGTTACTTTGAATTTGATGAGTCAATCGTTCGAAGAAGTCGCCCCGAAAATAACTCATCTTTAAATAGAGATGGATAATGTATGGATATTATCAGGAGATAATTTTACAATATTTTAAAAGACTTAGGACTAATTCAATTATTTAAAATCAGAAAAACCTTTGAGCATGAATTTGCGATGTATCATTCACGCGTCGAACTAACTTCTACATTGCACATATAAAATGGCAACTGTCATCGAGTATTGATGAAACATGTTAAAAATAAACCTAAATTGGTCTCATAGTTAACAAATACTACGTTCGTTAATTCTAGTTGGTTGTTCTTCTGAGAAAATTCGCTTTTTTGTCATGAAAACTGGAAGGGAAACATGATTGTTAATTTTGTCTTTCCCTATTGTCGTCGAAACTGCTTGTAAACAAGTATTCATTGTGTTTTTAAATCTTTGACTTTGAAAGCATATCTTCTCTCATTTTTATGGGTGATCAGTGCTCAAATTTTTCTCTAAAATTATATATATATGTCTATTGTTAGAAAATAAAAAAATTATCAACACCTAGTTTTTAGGAACAATTAAAAGAGAAAAATACTGTTTTATGTTAGAAATACAGCCTGCGGATCAAACGATCTAATTACAAAGGTAGTAATCTTCGCGGAAGACTCGAAATCATTAACCCTTTAACTCCCAGAAGTGATAAACAAGATATTTCTCTTGATAATATCCACACATTATCCAGCAAACAAGTGATGAGAACACTAAGACTTATTAGGTTGAAGTTGTTAAGATGATCTAGCACCAAAATCTCATAACTAATTTCCAAGCAGCTGGAAGGGAGAAGTAACAATCAGATCTTGGGAGATAAAGGTCAGGGCAAATTTTTATGTTCTATGTTTCGTTGCACGTGCTCTCTATTTAAAGATGAGCTATTAGTCTCGAGGTCGTTATCTTTTTTCGCACAATTTTGAGTAGTCTAACTAGGGCCGGGGGTTAGCCATGCACTCCTTGTACTTTGGTGTTTCGTACCAGGAGCACGCGGTCCCTTTGGAGTTTTTCACACAATAGGAGTGGTCCCACTCACAAGGGTTCCTGTAAGGAGACAGATAGTTTGAAGCACATCCTTTGAGCTTTCCGCAGTCTCTGCCGTGACACGGTGCAAGCTGACAATCACAGTTTTGCCCATAGAAGCGCTTGATACCAACACGTACAGCCTGGCGCTTGAGGACTTGGGACCAATCTTGTACAAAATTGCATAAGCTCACCCAAAGTTTACCGTTGGCAAACCACCCGAAGATGACGTACCTTTTGCCGTTCTGAATCCCGATAAGACCACACCTCGTGGCACTACTTTTGAAAGTGTAGACCTTGGCAAAAAGACTTCCCTGGTTGGACCCATAAGACCGAACTCCCTCGGTTTTGTTTAGTGCTGTCGCTCCCTTGTAAGTCTTCAGGATTCGCATACCGATTATTTTTTTGTGCCCCTCTACTTCTTGGGACAAAATCTTCGCACGTATCACTGAAAACGAAACAAGAATTAGGTTCATCTTATCTTCTTTTCACCGAATGAACACAATTACTTCCAGTCAAAATAGAAATAATGATTATTAGGATATTAGAAGTATTTTATATAAAACAGTTTCAGTAAACTATCTTTAAGGACAATTCTAAACACGAAAAACAAATTCATCCAAAGATATGTTTAATAAGAAAAGTCTTCATCTGTAATGGTTAGCGACTAACATTCCGCTGTATCATAAGGGGGCTGGGTGAAACTGGGTCAGTATATGAGAATGCAACATGTTCAGGAGTCTTTCGATCTGCCTTGGCAAACTAGTAATAAGAATTCGGAAACTTGAGAGAAAAAAAATCAAATCACGAAATTCTTTAAACGAAAATGTGCACCAGCCAAAAAGGAGAATCGCTTATGAGATCTTGGTAGTGCAAATGTCTCTGTTCGTATCAGTGTGTTGTTAGGAGCTTGAATAGGTGAACATGACCAGAAACCAGGATTAATAATGTAGTTCAGAAGAACGTGCCTTGCGGCAAATGGAAATGATTCCTTTAGCTCTTGTTCTACTAACTGGATATTTAAAAGTTGAACTATAAGGATCAGTGTTTCTCGTGATTTGACCTTGACATGAGAAATTTAGGTCTCGCAAAAAATTCCACCTCAACCTTCGCAATGACCAACACAAAGAGTCTAACCTCTAAAACTATTTCCGTTCTCAGTGGAGGCTATCGCAGCTAAACTTGAAGTACCTTTACAGAAGTTGCCAGCACTGGAGGAAGCCTCACAAAACGCTAGATTAGAAACGTTATTTTGTCCCAAGAACAAACCAATAGTTCAAATTATGCGGGTAATATCAGCGTTTAAATCGAAGCGAAAAATGGTGACTGCGTGAAACAGAGCAAAACGAAGAATCGGAGCTATTTCTAAGGCGGGAACATAGCACGCACGTTTTTACAGCCATATCTGACCACACTATCGGTGCTTTTGTAAAAACATAAAAGTTCCCTCTGCGCAGCACGCGAGCTACGTACCCGGTGAAGATAATGATTGATAAAGTGGAGATCAAAGCAACCCGCAAAGCCAGCTAAAACAACACCAATATTCGGTTCATATTTCAATAGGAAATTGAGTGATTTTTCCTTGTTTGGTTTTCTCCTTTCCTGCGGAGTAATTCAAGTTCTTCACAAGATTCTTTCTCTCGGTCTCTGAACCGATCAATTACAATGATGCTTGTACGGACTGCTGTGTGAGCGCTCCGATCTGAGCTTCAATTTACTCAAGGATGCTACTCTTTCTAAAATGCGAGTACTTATTCGTGATATTGTGACATCAACGGAAGGATTATGTGCTTTGTTCATAAGTGGATAATTATTTTGAACAATCTACAAAGCCCAAAAAGCAAACAGAAAGGACGTTAGAGGTTGTTTGTGCAAACAAATGGGCTGTTTGTTTTATCTTGAGATGAAAGCACACATCTTCGACAGGAAGTGTCGATGATACATAGAAGAAATGTTGAAACGCCAATTAACAATTGGTTCATGTTTTAGCGTGCGCTATCGAGTTATGGAGCACGTGGGAAGTTTGGAGAGCACGAAAGAAGCGTGAGACTTGCCCGAGGCAATAGCCGAGGGCAACTCTAGCTTCTTGAGTAACGGTTTTCAGTTTCATCCAGTTGTTTTTAGTTTTAATCGAGTCTTCCTATTCCGATGAAAATTTCTATGAGAAACTCTTATGTCCCACGTATAAACTTGATTATCTTGAAAAGTCAATGGTCGAGTTTTGCTAATTTATAGCGTTTTTTCGCAGTATATATACCGGTGAAGAATGCAAAAGAAATACAACTGTTTCATGCCAACTCGAAAGTCGAAAAGTTGACCCGCTAAATGAACTCGGTGGACGATTAGATTCTGCATAAAACTCTGCCCAAATAAAACATACTCTTCAAGGACGCCCTTAAAACAGTTCTTTTACTACTAGGAAGTCAATATTTTGTTTGAGAAGTGCACCATGTGTGCGCGAGCAAGAAAAAGCGAGGGCGCCGTGAGTTTTACCATGGAATTTCAAACACCTTTGTCTTACAGTCTAGTGAATGATTCGCAACTTACCAAATCCCGCATTACAGAAGGCTTCCTGGGGATGTTGCGGCCTACAAGTACAGGCCTGGCTTAAAGCCACGAGACCTAGGAACAAAGCAGCATGAACGATAAAGGACATTCTCTCCTTGTGTCGTTGTTGTACACTTCAACTCTCTACTTTGCCTCGCTTGTTGAGGATTAAAAAGAGTGATTCGTGTATCTGATAGCTGGCTCAGTTTCTGCTTATATACTGACATCATCAGCGCGTGTCAAAGGTGATATCCCGCAGAGCCAGGTGCAGCGGACGAAAGCTCCGTGCCATGCGTCACTGAAACGTGTAAGCAAGCAGAAATATGTGTTACGAAACCGTATTTCCTCTGAAAGTGTGAACTCGGAGGATTCTGGGAAGGGGATCACACGGTTTTCGGGGGGGGAGGGGGGGCGGCGGTGGGAGGAGGTAAGTCGTCGCCAACAGAATACAAAGAGGGTGCTATAGAAATTGACTGAAAATCTTCCGAGCCCCCCCCCCCCTACACAGGTGATAAATAATGACCTGTCTACCGGTCCCTTAGTAAGACTTTTCTTTTGGCCTTCGGTAAGAACGGTAAGAAGTCTGGAGGAAAAGTTGGAAGAGAGTTACACCGAAGTAAAGAAGAGAAGAAAATTGTTATGAAAGGACAGTGAGCATACAGTTTGACTGTTTGGATCAGAGCGACAGAAGAATATTAGGAACAGTGATAAAAATGGTGAGAAGTCTTGTGGGAAAGGGACAGTGAGCATACAGTTTGACTGTTTGGATCAGAGTGACAGAAGAATATTAGGAACAGGGATAAAAATGGTGAGAAGTCTAGTGGGAAAGAGACAGTGAGCATACAGTTTGACTGTTTGGATCAGAGCGACGGAAGAATATTAGGAACAGTGATAAAAATAGTAAGAAGTCTAGTGGGAAAGGGACAGTGAGCATACAGTTTGACTGTTTGGATCAGAGCGACGGAAGAATATTAGGAACAGGGATAAAAATGGTGAGAAGTCTAGTGGGAAAGGGACAGTGAGCATACAGTTTGACTGTTTGGATCAGAGTGACGGAAGAATATTAGGAACAGGGATAAAAATAGTAAGAAGTCTAGTGGAAAAGGGACAGTGAGCATACAGTTTGACTGTTTGGATCAGAGCGACAGAAGAATATTAGGAACAGGGATAAAAATGGTAAGAAGTCTAGTGGGAAAGGGAAATAGTTGGAGCAGAGTTACACGGAAGTTAAAGAGAAGAGGAACATTTTTTAGACCAGAGGAGGATGGAAGTAGAAGTAGAACAAATTCAGTAGGAACAGTGGAAGATTGGAATAGTAAAATACTGGAATAGTGGAAGATTGGAATAGTAAAATATTGGAAAAGTGGAAGATTGGAAT